TGAGTACAATGCCGTTTCGTATCACCTCGCGTTGAAGAGCCTCTGTCGGCAGGCTAGCGATCACCGACCCTCGAGTATGGCCGTTCTTGTTCATCCATTGGTGCTCCTTCCCGTCGTAGAGCCATCTTAACCTGTTAATTTGGATTCCAGGAATCCGAACATTTGTCTCCGTAGTGATTTGGTATATCATTCTGCCGTTGTCGGCATTTTTCCCTCCATGTATCATTGTCCCCAATGGGACTCCCAAAATTTCAACAGGATAATCCTGCTTCAAAACGCAGAACTCCTTTGGCTGAGCCATATTCAGGGCAGCGTCTCGCTGTGAGATCGACTGCACGAACACCTCAGTATCGTTACTCCGCAACTGCCTTACGGCATATGCTCCCTCGATATGTATTTTTGCTTTACTAAGCAGCTCTGCCGGCTGCATTTTTTCTGCCCCTTGAACTCGTATTCTTACTGCCGCTTTAGTTGCGGGAGGTGCAACGACCGAGGCGTACGTTGGTCGCCCTCCCATTCCTTGTGTCGACGGAGGAGCCATCTTGCGCACTGGCTCCTCGAGACTCTTCGTTACTGCCTTCTCTAAGGCCAGCATCCTTTCTTCCATTGGTGTCGCTTTCATTGTCGATTGTAGTGACAATGCGTGCGACTTGAGGGCGTCAATAGCCCCATCTACCTCCGCCATCGGTGTCGCTGTTGGGTTAGTACCTGCTATTACCAGTCTGTCGCGAACCTTGTTTAGGAAAAGCCCTATTGATTTCAAACTATCCATGTTAATGCCTGTAGATGTCGCGAGAGAATCTACAGCCATAATTGCGGCGGTTCCGCTGTCCGTTGGGGGTTTTGGTGGTGCCGTGAAAATTTTTCCTGCAGTGAAAACCACATTTCTGGTTCCCCAATCCACCATGCCGAAGCGCAGTGCGAAAAAATCGAGGAATCGGATAATAAGGTACGATTAAGATAGTAGCAATTAGCGAAACGATGAAATAACGTTCGTGGAACGTTGTGCCGCTTTTGACCAAATGATGATGTTTTTTTATTATTATTATTATTATTATTTGAATTTGAATTTGATTTCATTACCCTGATTTGGCGCCCTATGGGCCCATGCAGGTGGCTATAAACTCTATTTATAGATATTTTACATGAGGGGGAAACCTTCCGATAAAAACCCCCTTCTCCTTCAAATTATATCTGTAGTACTTCGTTAACCTACAGGAAGCGCAATATGCCGTTAGTCCGAGACAAGACTAGCTAAAGTTATAGGTGACCTCGCCATCCTTTCCCAGCCCTCGCGTGCCGAAAAGTGATGACTGTGGTCTTGAGTTCGACCCCGATGGCGCAAATTGGTGTGTAGGTGGGGCTGTGGCCACGGGATTTTTCCGCGGGCGCCCTGGCCCTCTCTTTCCGACCTCTGCCTTCTGGTTGGACACCAGTGTAAATCCTTGGTTGTCTACTTGTTTTTCCGCTGTTGATATTGGAGTGGCCGCTGCTGTTAGTTCCTCCCTTCTTAGATCTGCCGTTCTTTCCAAAAGTCCATACCGTGCCCTCTGGACACTGACCTTGTAGGACGCGAAGTTTGGACACGCCCCCTTCTGCCACGATTTATGGGCTTTGCCGCAGTTGCAGCAGAGCACCGACTTCCTCGGGCAGTCTCTAGTCTGGTGAGTGCCCGCGCACTCACCACATCTTTTCGCCCTATTGCACGAGGCTTGAGTATGCCCCCATTGACTGCAGTTGAAGCACTGCTTAACTTGTGCTCGGGGTGACCAGAGCTGGGCCGTGTACAGCATTGAATTGAGTACAATGCCGTTTCGTATCACCTCGCGTTGAAGAGCCTCTGTCGGCAGGCTAGCGATCACCGACCCTCGAGTATGGCCATTTTTCCTCATCCATTGGTGCTCCTTCCCGTCGTAAAGCCATCTTAATCTGTTTATTTGGATTCCAGGAATCCGAACATTTGTCTCCGTTTTTATTTGATATATAATTCTGCCGTTGTCGGCATTTTTTCCTCCATGTATCATTGTCCCCAATGGGACTCCCAAAATTTCAACAGGATAATCCTGCTTCAAGACGCAGAACTCCTTTGGCTGAGCCATATTCAGGGCAGCGTCTCGCTGGGAGATTGACTGCACGAACACCTCAGTGTCGTTACTCCTTAACTGCCTTACGGCGTATGCCCCCTCGATATGTGTTTTTGCCTTGTTTAGCAGCTCTGCCGGCTGCATCTTGTCTGCTCCTTGTATTCTTATTCTTACTGCCGCTTTAGTCGCTGGAGGTGCGACGACTGAAGCGTAAGTGGGTCGACCTCCCATTCCTTGTGTCGACTGAGGAGCCATCTTGCGCACAGGCTCCTCGAGACTCTTCGTTACTGCCTTCTCTAAGGCCAGCATCCTTTCTTCAATTGGTGTCGCTTTCATTGTCGATTGTAGTGACAATGCGTGCGACTTGAGGGCGTCAATAGCCCCATCTACCTCCGCCATCGGTGTCGCTGTTGGGTTAGTACCTGCTATGACCAGTCTGTCGCGAACCTTGTTTAGAAAAAGCCCTATTGATTTCAAGCTATCCATGTTAATGCCTGTAGATATCGCGAGAGAATCTACAGCCATAATTGCGGCTGTTCCGCTGTCCGTTGGGGGTTTTGGTGGTGCCGTGAAAATTTTTCCTGCAGTGAAAACCACATTTCTGGTTCCCCAATCCACCATGCCGAAGCGCAGTGCGAAAAAATCGGGGAATCGGATAATAAGGTTCGATTAAGATAGTAGCAATTAACGAAACGATGAAATAACGTTCGTGGAACGTTGTGCCGCTTTTGACCAAATGTTCTTATTATTATTATTATTATTATTATTATTATTATTATTATTATTATTATTATTATTATTATTATTATTATTATTATTATTATTATTATTATTATTATTATTATTATTATTATTATTATTATTATTATTATTATTATTATTATTATTATTATTATTATTATTATTATTATTATTATTATTATTATTATTATTATTATTCATCCATTCATTGATCTAGTTTAACGTCCTATGCGGTATCTATATACAGAACCATGAAGACGGTAAGCCGTTTTGGATGGGGTAAAGGTTTTAGACAAACAAAACCCGATGTCCTGCCACTCTGAACCGACCCGGCTTTATGCTGAGGACGTTCCTTTCAACCGCAATTTTGTAAACTTTCCTCGAAATTCGTTAACTCCCCCTTTAATCAGACCATCGTTATGAGAAATTGAAAAGAGAAGGCACCTCCTCACTCGGCGCTAGTCTTCTAAGTGTTCGAAGAGTAGGTCCCGATGGCGGTGCTGCTGTCGAGGCGATGATTGGTGCCACTGGGGCTTCGACTACCTTGCGTGGTCGTCCCGGCCCTCTTTTGAGTCCTTCAGCCTTTTCACTGGTGACCAAAGTGAATCCCTGATCATCAGTTGGTCTGGCTGTTTGTGTTGGCGCCATTGTTGGTTTTTCATTCCAAATTTCTGCCGTTCTCGATAACAGCTCCATCCGAGCCTTCTCCACACTACCGTTGCAAACCTTATAGGCCCGACACGCTGCTTTCTGCCACGAACGGTGCTCCTTGTAGCAGTTCGCACAAGAAGCCCTTTTCCTAGGACAGTCCCGAGTTTGGTGAGCGCAGCTGACACCATAAACACAAGCCAACGATGGAAGGCGTTGTGATCCGCCTCCTGGTGGTGTTCTCCGATAAGTTTGAGTATCCTGGGCACCTACTCCACCTGTGAAGGAGACACCTAAGATCACATTTCGCGCGGAGAAAAGTTGATGGATGACGGAGGCATGTCTGGATAACTCAGGGTTTTTGAGACGTTTCCCTGGGTGGGTATTCACGGAGAAGGGTTGACTTGGGGTGAAGAAAAAGCTACCATAACTTCGCAGTGGTACTTGCAAATGAAATCTGAGGCATAAGTGCTTCTCTTGTAAATTGAGTCATCTTTTCTGTACTTTTCTTTGATATTGTGTCATAGCTAGATAGCTTCATACGCAATTAAAATCTAATGCCAAAAAAAAAAAAGAACCCCCCGCAAAAACAACAAGTCCGTGATTGAAAAATAACGAAACTAGACAAGATACCAACTTGAATGCCTGTACATAACTTGATGTTTCATAAATATTTGTATGGACCCATAAAGCCGAGACCATAGCCTATACTAAGGTTGAAGTTCTTGTAGTCTGTGGCGTAGTTTATCCCAAACTTCATTTGTTCATCCTATGCACTGGCTTACTGTCATCCCACATGATAAGAAGCACCATTAGGGCATTGGTCCTTGGGGGACCATTGCCCAAGCTTTATAGTGCAAGATGGCCAATCCTTGATGAGGCAGATTCCAGATTTCAATTGGAGTAATGCCATCATGGGTGGTTGACACGAGGTGATGCAGCAAGATTGAACTAGAGGATTCTTTTGAGAATGAAAGGTCTACAATTAGACTTGAACTTGAAAATTACAATTTGACAGAAAGGAAACCCGATCATTTCAGACGTGACACGAGTAAATAGGCCAGAAAAGCTCATTGCCTACAGTTCTGAAATTAACGAGAAGTCGTCGATTTTTGATATACTGGAGGTTGCCTTCAACATTTGTTGGGATTCAATTGTTCTTAGCTATCCCAGATATGCAGGGCATTATGAGCAGGTACACTGACACCAATGGCTATGACTAAATCTTCTGCGCTGACGTTAAGAATAAAGCGGTTATGCAGGAAGATGCCTTGATGCATCACTCTCATATGACCATCCGCTCTATATCCACGCGACTGATGCGCTTCGTTGCTCTCTATCTCACTTTCCATAATCACATTCATCGAAACGACAACTTTCAAACCAACACTTTACGAAATGTCTCACTATCCGGAAATTTTTGCTCATCTCAAAGAGAATCCAATCGAAGCTACTCTTACAACTTTTCGAAACGATTACACGGAGGAGAGTGCTCAAGATAGTAATTTTCACTGAATAAACAAGGAAATGGAAGCTAACATATTAGATCTTGCAAGGCTAATTACGACATTAACTGTTCATATACAACGTATCAGACCTAACAATGAACTGAGAAAACTGGCTGGTAAATTTTCCAAAATCTCCTCGGAGATTATGCTCGATGGACGTCATCTCACAGAACTTCAATCTCTCGTCAATGCTATTTCACAATACCAAGATGAATCTGAAGTATTCAAAATTGCGATTGAACTTGTCGAAAAATTAGCAGATCAACCAAGTGGCAATCAACGTAGTGACCGCAGTGATCGATTAACTTTGACACCCGCACCCTGTCCATTTACATTCACCCGAAGTGCTTCAGAGGCAAAAGATTTTAACAAAAATGTCACTTCTATGACCGCAGCATTAAGGAATGAACTTTATAAAAATGTAATTGTGGATCTGGACAATTTCTGGACGGAGCTTTTCCTCGGTAAAGATTGGTCCAATCAAACATGGAATATTTGGAAAAGCTATGAAGCATACGAACATAATGAAATTAAGAACCAGGAAGAAGCTGAGACGGGGACACAAAGAGAAACCATGAACGACAAGCAGAAGGTAACCCAGGTACAAGAAGTAAGAAAAGAAGGAAGGCTACAGGATACTCGTAAAGTTACTCGAAGTTATAAAAATAAGTTGGCCGGAAATTTAGAGACTGTGATGGAGGAAGAAACACCAAAAACTTTCAGAAAAACCCGAAGTCAGACAAAAAAAGATGACGAAGAATCGGCAATCTTGGCAGAAAACGAATCGCTCGAAAGTTCGCAAAATATCCTGAATACAAATAACAATGATATCCAGAACAAAACTAATTCGGTAGAGGCCAAATCTGGGGGAATCCAGAAAATAATCTATAAAAACAAGATTTTGACTGGAGACATGACTGAAGATGAAATGTGGGACTGGCTAAATTTTTTTCGTGAGAATTTTTTGAATCAGCTCACAGATAAATTCCACAGACCATCGGAAAAGTTTCCAAAAATCATCAAAGAAGAAGAAGGCTCCCAGTTCCGCTGCAGTTATTTTCGCTCGTCAGATAAATGCCCGATGAGGGGTACTGACAACGATTACCAGGCCGACTTCCTCACAAAGAGAATCGGGTCTTCCAATGCTCAAAGTAAGGTTCATCAATGGAGTGATGTGAGAGTACTGGGTGAATTTACGAAAAAGAAATCTTCAGGTCAAAGGAACGAAAAGTTTTATCAGCTATCTAGACTTGCTCTCCAAGTGTTTTACACACAGCCACTTCGTCATTTCGTACATGGATTTACCGCGTTCAAATCAAATTTTGAACTGTGGGTGTTTAATCGCTCGGGCGCATATAGCTCGGGCTTATTCAACATCGAAGACGATAAAGAAAAGCTAGTGAGAGCGATCTGTTCATACCTTTTGATGAGTGATCAAGAACTAGGTATTGACTCATCTATTGAAAAAGTTAATGGACGCTCTTCGGTATCAATTTATGATGAGAAACAGAAGGAGACTAGGAAGTTTGACATTAATCCGAATCCTTTTTTCATGGTGGGTACCATAGTCACTCGTGGAACTACCTGTTTCGAAACTTCGGACAAAAGCAGTGTTGTTAAATACTCGTGGGTCAGGACTCCAGGTAAATCAGAAATCGACTTTTTGCAACATGCCCATGGAATAGATGGCGTAGTCGAGTATGTCACGGCAGACATAATCTGTACCATAGGTGATCATCTGAAGAACCTCAACTTCAGCAATGCGAAATATTTGAAGATGATGGACTGCAATCCTCTTATCTGCATGGCTGAAGGTGTAGAGGTACCTCGGACTCCCCAGTTGAGAGATCGAGAACTTCGCAGAATAGTTATCTCACCTCGTGGCCATAGTCTTCGTTCCAGTAAAACGATTATGGAGTTTCTTGTTGGCATCCGAGACGCAATCGTGGCACACCGCCGTCTGTATGTCGAAAAGAAAATACTTCATGGTGACATCTCTGACGGTAACATCATTCTAGCAACTGTAGGTGGTAAAACTCAAGGGATATTGATCGATTTGGATCACGCCGAAATGGTCGACCCACCACCAGGCAAAGATGACAACTTGTTCTTGACTGGTACTATGCAGTTCATGGCACTTGAGAGGCTACAATCCGCTGCAAATCGTGGGGAAACCATAGCTCGCACGTTTCATCACGATCTAGAGTCGTTCTTTTATGTGTTCATTGTAGGATGCATAACATATGAACGCAAAAAGAATTCAAGGGCGGTGATTGGACTGCAGATGTGGCACACTGACAACATCCAGAGTAATTACGATATAAAGCAAGCAGCTATTTCGAGATTTAAAGAAAAAATTCTCGATAACTTCTCCACCAATTTCGTAGTCTTTAAGGCTTTAGCATCTGAACTCCGAACGATACTATTTGGAGAGCTTGGAGATGAATATAGCGCCCCTGAAGATTATGAAGCCGAATATGAGAAGATTATTAAGGCATTCAGCAATACCATTGAAGATCTAAGAGGTAAGATCAATCAATTACTACACAATTACTACACAATCACTGTTCCCTTAAATGAGAGTCTAGCTAACATTCTCAATTATTTAGATGGGACAATCGAGAATAAATTGTTGGCTAGAGGAACATCATGAAGTGTTTTACAGGACTTTCCTGATAGATAAGGATGTCAGGACTCCCCAGGCTGTCGTAAATTGGAGAATCTTGTACTCGGGTGGATTCTTGAATTGATCTTTTGTTTAATTAAAATATAGGTTATTAGATATACACTAAAATAAACGAGTTACACTTTTGTTATCTTCCGGTTCACATTTGCTTGGAAGTGCAATGTGTATTGGCAGAAAATTAGGAGAGAGGCTATATTTTTTTTAAACTGAGCTTTGCTTGCCGTGCTAGAATTTATTTAACACGAAAGATTTTGGATTAACCTCTTATATGTTTCAAATAACATCATTCGCAATCAAGTAATTAAAAATTTACTCCTTCAACTATCTTCACAAGCCACTATGATACTGTAGGCTACCACATTTATTAGAGACTCAATGTGTAGGGCATGGACGAACTGAACAATTCATTCCATAAACTTTTAAGTCAAACTACATCAAACTCAAGGAATCAGACATGCAGCGGCACTGAAAACCTTTTGATTGTCTCATTCATTGAAGAAACTTGGTTAGGCTAATTTGGATAGCCAGGATAGAGCTTAACGAAAAAAAAGGTTCGTCAAATTGTGAGATAAAACAGTTGCTCCTTTCATTCAAATATACTTGACCTGCCTTTAAACGAAGGAAAGAAGGTAGTACGGGTAATGGGTGGTACACCATTATCGTTGATCCCACTATCTTACTAGCAATGTTAGCGGCATTAACAGGTTGGCGCACCACCCCAAATATGGCCCTCCACGGCAAGGCAGGTATCTCACCAGCGGAGATGTTACTTGAACAGAAACCTTAGCGAACCGCTGTATGTGTACGGTGACCAAATAAATGGCCCCTTGTCCGTAGGGCAAACACTTGTAGTAGTAGTAGTGATTTTCGATCTGAGTTGCTTGACAGCGTCAAACATTCAACAAGTAGCCTCCCTAAGAGTATGAGATGGTGTCAAGCTAGAATGTAGTAGTACAGCATGAATTAAAGAGATAAATTGCCCCAGACCGTATAATGTTCTTGTGTGAATATTGGCATTGGTAGAGTAGCTATGGGGAAGATTACGGAAATTAGTCACGTGGTATTAGTGCGGCGTTGGGGTTTACGTCGTTCATTACTCAAGATACTCAAAACGCTCCTGAACGATACCAAAAACTGGGAATTAACGCCAATATTGGGAGCTCCCCCGAACTCAAGAGCCTTAACCGCTACGATCTTGGTCGCCTTCTTGCAGCTCGCTCAGGCCATGGAGACTTCGGTGACTACCACCGCCGCTTTCAGCACTCGGACGCTCTTCCGATCTGCACTTGCGGGCTAGAAATGTCTCCCGAGCACTTCTTCTTTTGTCGACTCAATCGGAGTCGGTCCCGCCTTTGCAGCGGAAGTAAACACCCAACGACGGGAATTCGCTGGATTCAAGGCTCACCTGAAGGAGCCATAGCTTTTAGTAAATGGCTCCATGAAACGTGCTTTTTTGAAGCATGCAACAAGAAGACTAACTAGTACCCCAAATTATACGCACTTGGCCTATATTTTCTAGAGCTAAATTTAGAAGACTTCTGGTCTAGGTGATGGATAACTTTATTTTTCATAAATATAACTGTCTTCTCTACTGTATTAGAATACAAAAGTCTCAGCTCGAGAGTACTTTTGACTTCTTTCTATAGTTCGGGGTGCATGGCAGGTAGGCCTTGGCCCATTTATAACATGTCGGGCTTATTTAAAAGTATCAGCACGTCGGGTAGTTTATGTAGACTTAGCTGGCCATCACGAGACCTCAAGGTTGTTTTGTCTATTTTGTCCTAAGCTAAAGCTATGTTTTCCACATTGGGTCAAGGACCGGCGGATCCGGCAGGGCTCCCTGTAATCTTTCCTACAGCCTAACTCGTTCCAACCTCGTGAATCGCTGCCAAAAGTGCAGCTGATTAAACGGAAACGAAAAATCAAGAAAATCAAAACAACTCCGAAAACCAGAAGATTCCTCCATATTGGACCCAGTAAATGCGCTCTCCACACATTCCGTCGTCCTTCACACCTTCCAAATGAAAAATTTACTTAATTTCCGCTGAGAGCAGTACATGAGTTAGCAGGCACCTTTTATCCAGCGAGTATCCTGCTAATTGTTAGTAGATGCCCCAGAAGGGGATATCGTCGAGGTTGCTGTGTCCTCAAACTTCTTCTTCAGATCCCAGCACTCGGAAACCTATAGCCTCGGCCACTGCGACATCCTTCGCCGCGGCGACGATCGCCTCTTCGGCCTTTTTGGCTGTAGCCCTAGCTCGAGCCGCCTCCGCGAACTTCCCCTGCTCGAGGTGGCGTATCCATGCGAGCTGCTCTTTTGTCACTGGCCCAGACTCTCTGGGTCTGACTTGGCAGTCCCCAGAATTCGATCGGTGGGGTCCCCCACAGTTGCGACACTTTGTGAGGGCCTTGCACTCAGAAGCCGAGTGCATGTTAGATCCGCAGTTCCAGCAGGCTGGAGCGCGGGAGCAACCACGAGTGGGGTGGAAGCCCAAACAGAGTTTACACTGTTCAATTTGGCGACGAGACTTGTGAATGGTAGTCATACCAGACTCGTCGAAGAGGCGGAAGCCCGCACGAGGGGCGTTGTCCCGAGTAAAAAGGGCATGCCAGTTTTGATATAGTGCCCCAGGTCGACATGTCCCATGAGGTCGGACCTGGATTGGAATCGCGCCAGTCGTACCGAGAATCTTGGCAGAGACCCAGCTAGCATCGACCGCCCTGGGGCCGCACACTGTAACTATACTTACAGGTACGTTCAGTATCTGTAAGGCGACAAGATCCGAAGATGGCTCGAGTTTGACGTTTTGACTCGTCGGCTTCGAAGAGCCATCTAAAGTCTCTTGTCGTGTTTTTTCGTTCTTTGCTAGCATAGCAAAGCCCGTTCTCACTCGGTGGAGTGAGGTTATTTCTTGGTTAAAGTAGTCGAATGTATACTTCAACTTAGATCTTACGCTGCTTGTGGACAGTTTTCACCACGGGTGCTCCTTTTCTAGGCGAAGGAACAATCGTTTGTCGACTTTCGCCTTGGGAGCTTCTTTCTTTGGGGCTTTGGCCGCAGGTCGCGGCACAGCCTTTACAGTTGGGACTGCTTTTTGTTCCAGTCTGTTTTTGGCCACCGTAGCCCAGGTGCTTTTTATAGGCAGCACTGGGACGGCGGGAATTTGTATGCTCCTGGCGCCGGGAGCCCTTTGGGGAGGGATTGCCGGGCGAGGAGGGAGGACGGGTGGCGTAGTGGCCGGGTTCGCTGCCAGGTATTGCGCAATGGGGGCGCGTAAGTAGACTCTCATGGAGTCTACGAGTTGTTTGTTTGACCCGTTGGTCAAAGGGAGGAGGGTGGCTTCGACGCCAGAGATGGCCAGATTTGCCGCTGTTTCGGCGGCGCGTCGTTGTTCAGCTTCGACTATTGGTCGGAGCTCGAGGGGACACTCTGCTTTCGTGGCAGCTGTTGGCTGCGACGTTGATGTTGACGCTGCTATGGGTGCAGCGTTTTCCGACGGTTTTGACACGGTCGGAGGAGGTTTGGAAGATTCTCCAATTCCGTGGGGGATGGAGACTCGTTGAGGAATTTCTTCAAAAATTTCAGCTGACCCGATCATGTCAGTATCGGGTTCAGTGACGGCGGGGAGAGCTTTTTCCTTCCCTTTGATTGAGACCTTGCTCATCTCCGCGCATTTCGGAGACTGAGCAATATCACAGGTAGGTCTCGTTGGAACGGAGTCACAAGAAGATCGGAGGTACGAGAGGACGAAGTACGGGTAGGAATATATTAATAAGACGTTGCACAATCTATCCTAGAGTGCAAGTACTTCGATACTTATACTTCATTCCTGCGCTAGTATCAATCATACAAATAAGTAAGATAGTTGTGCGTCATGTTACCTATAGGTAAGGTCATAAGCGAGAACCATAGGTACCATGTCAGGCAAGGCCAGGTACTTGATCGAGAGCTCTCGAGTGGACTCTCGTGTTGTCCAACTATGCATTGGGACGCTTTTTACGAACAGGTGGCATGGTGAAAATGCCAGTGACTCGATCATAATTTTTTTGAGGGGACGCGACGAGCGCGAGAGGGAGAAAGAGGGGGAAAAAGTGAAGATTCGAAAATTCGAATTTCAAAAAATTGTTTGTTTTTATTTTTCTTATTTTTTGAGTCCTAAGCTATGCTCAATATCTCCTAGGAGTCAAGGACCGGTGCACACGGCCAAGATCATGCTTCCCACATGCCCGACTCGGTCTCACCGCGTGACTCACTACACAACAAGTAGCTAGTTATAATAAAGAAAACAAATGCCCACACATACTCCCATAACCAAAATTCCAAATTCCATACTCCTGTTTGTGGTTGGAGAATGTCACTTATCGTCTCATTTCTCCGCCCGTCATGCTTTGTGGTATAATCTAGTTACTACTGTCCACGCTGAGAGCTGGAGACGGAGTTGCAGGTGGGCCCCCGAAGCAGCCGGTTTCCTGCGCAAATTTTTTAAAGTGTTCGGGCACTTAGGCCCGGGAAGTTTGTGGGTAAAGTCGTGATGTGACATTGTCCCTCGTAGTCGACGCGTCTAGCGTACGTGCAGTCGACAGTGAATAAAGTGGAGAGGTGATGTTCTTCTCCACACGCACACTCCATTGAAGCGGTGATGACATGCCGCGAAGTTTCCGTGGCCCGTACGGGCTGAGATCAGTTCACGGAGTAGCCGCCGGGAAAGTGTCTGTTCGCGTGGCTTGCGTCGTCGCATAAGGAGACCCAGATCTCGATACCTAGGTGGACATACTTCTTCCCACCAGTCGTCGAGAAGCGCTTGAAGTTTCCGGTTCATGAGCCGACAAACGTACGCCATTGTGACGGAGACAGGCTGGCTGTCTTTGCTTGGCAGTTGTTGGAGGCCGGAGTGAGGAGCTTTTTCTGCATCTTCGTTTACCTGTATCTCGGAGTGGGCCGGTATCCAATTCACCGAGACAAGATT